TCTTGCCGGGTTATTTATTATTTCGACACTCCTGCACTTGAGAGAAAATATCAATCTTTTGGTCGTGTCACCAAACATGGTCTTCATCCAAATTTTAATAAATTGTTAATTTTTAAAAGATTATTTAGCAATTAATTTTGAATTCCCCACTTTTTTCTACCCTCATATATTTAATATTTGGAATCATAACCTATACACGAGGAGTTTTTTTGGTATTAAATGAATCGTTTTCCCTCCATAAAAAAAAAAAAGAATCTTTCTTTCAAAAATACAATTTTATTTTAAATTACATATGGGCCAAGTTTCTCAAAAACAAAACAAAAATCATAAATAATAAAAATAAACAAAAAAAATATAAGGCATGATGTAGCTTATTTAAATATAAAAATTCAAGAAATTTTTTTTTTGTTAATATCTTTGCATGTATTTTTGGATTTAATAATCCTTTTTTGAAATCTATGATAACTTGGCATACATTTTAAAAATATCAAAAAAATAATCTTGTTTTTTCCAATATCAAGGATTACAAATTTATACATAAGATGTATTCATGATATTAAAAAAAAAATACAAAAAAATATGTTTTAACTCTAGAATGGTTAGGTTTTAACTTGATAAGATAATGATTTTCTTACCAAAAAAGACTTTTCTTAAGCCTTAAATTAATCAATAGTTAGAAAACATAATAATATCTTAGTTTATATCAAACAAGAAAAGAATACAGTTTATCTTAGTGTACTAAGGGTGATATGTCTTCCCTATACTCAATCTATCCTCTTATCCAGACTCTAAAACCAGTTAAGGTTTTTAGTGACTAAAATACTTAGTGGCGACTTTATCTCTTATTTTACTGATAAAAAATAAAAATTTATTATCCTTTCCACTCCATCTCTGAACAACTTGTGGTTTGCGACAACTCAGTTTTAAAGTAATTATTCAAAGGCGAAAAGAATATCTAGTTTTCAAGTAATATTTATATAAATCTTTAAAAACTCTAAATTTATCTAATAAAATGCTTGAGATTCTTAAAAAATTTTAAATTTATTATTTTTACTGAAAGCATATAAAGCCAACAAAGATGTCATTGATGAGACCATGACAACCAACTACAATACCATGGTGCAAGCGATATGATATGATATAATGAGAAACAACTAACATTGATGGGAGGATTAATTGCTTATTTGGTGTGGTCTCTAAAGCCAAAGCCAATACCACCCCCCATCTACCTAATATTATTGGCAGCATTGGCCATACTTGCTTGGATATATTGCTACTCCCATCACCGTCCATGACACGCAAACACAATCAACACAGGCGAAGGGAGGAAGATGAACTCACCTCAGCGTCTTCAATCTTTGCCTTCTTGTTTTGTGTAATTAAATTTTTTTTCTTTTGAGATATATCTTAGCAGTGAAGTGGTTTATGTGTTTTTGTTTCAAATTGATATGATGCTTCATACATTTGGGAATCTTAAATCAGGTTCATCGCAAATTTATTTATTTTCTTTTTGTCAGCATTCTCATTGTGGCCTGCCAATTACATTTGACAATATAATAATTAGTGTATTATTAATAACTACAGCAGATGTTGATTTGTAAAAGCTGTTTTTTTTTAATTAAAAATATATCAAAATATTATTTTATTATTATTCATCTAAAAAAAATATTATTTTGAGAAGCAATTTAAAAACTGAGTTCAACTTCAAAAACTCGTTTAAGCTACCTAGAAAAAGCCCTTGATTCAATTTTTAATTAGATCAAGGATGGCTAGTCCACTCAAACAAACAATACTCAAGTAGAGAACCAAACTCATAGCTCACACAGATTAGCAATTTCTAAACAATGAGACCATGGTTCCAAAGATTTGGGCAAGAATAAATATGCAGTGGCTTGTGTTGGGTAGAAGGAATACAAGGTTACTTTCATATGTTCAATTTAGTCCCCAGTACCCACTCTGAAACAAAACAGATCATGCAAGAGAACAGATCCTCTGGATAGGTTTTTCTACAGGAAATTATTCAGAAAATAAAATCATGGGGGCAATCATCTTTCTTCGACCATGCTGAGAAAACAAATGGTGACCAAACTTTTATCCTGTGAGACTGATTCCAGCAGTCAACAGATGAGAGGTGTTTCTTCCACCTCTAATATTCAAAACCTGATCAAGTTCTTCAAACTATGAACCTCCCTTTTAAAGCAAATGCTTCTATTCACAATAAACCAGCTTCAAAGAGATTTCTGCGTCTTAAAGTCTCATCTACAAGCTTGAAAGTTTTTTTCACAAGCTTCTGATCAAGTGCTGTGGTTCTGTATATTTTAAATACCCGGTCCACGCGATCAGGGGTTGTGCTTTGGAAATACGACTCCTCAAACTTCTTCTTTACAAACCTGATGAATACTATATCATTAATGACGACCATCAAATCCTTGGAACCGCAAGAAAAAAAAATCATCACAACCTCAATAGCATAAAAAAAGGAAGGTCAGAGGTTAGCTGGTTCTAGACACTGTGAACAAACATTTTGCAAAATGCGCACATATATTTGACAAATATACAAGTGTTGGCTTGCATTAATTCATCAAGACCATAAGGAAGTGGAGTTCCTTATCAAGGTTTCAGCAAAGCACAAAACTTCAACACTTTTAGCCTATTCAGTGCACTAATATTTTTCACTCACTCATATATAGGAAATGAAGCAGCAAGATAAATGCTTACTCGTATGCATGCTCAATCTCTAGTTTTCCTGTCAAAACTGGCTGGTAGTCCTTGAACCACTCGCATACATTCAATGGTACCTGTAAATTGCACAACATCAAAGGCCAAAACTGATGCTATTTTTTCTATACTAAATAAAAATGCACAGTTCTGCAGCTCTTACTTTCAGAACTTTCTCTTCAAATATATCAAACTTGTTTAGAAACAGCATGAAGGATGTCTTCTGCACGCAAGAAGCCAAGTGAAAATGTAAAGAGCCCCAGCTGTCTATATTCGGACCTTAAAATAACAGATCACAGGGACAGGTTAGAGTAGCATAAAAGACAACCTCAAAGCATGGTTGCTTCAGGACCCACTCAAAAAGCTCCTTTGTCCCAATCATTCGATTCTTGTTTTCATCCTCAAATAGTGTTTGATCATACCTGAAAACATAAACAGTCAAATTACACCCTTTTCACTTTCCAATGTGTTCTTGTGTTAGAAATGTAACTTCACATGCTAACAGATAGCAACGGTTGAGATAAGCTCACTCCAACTCAATACTGCCCTGACCAAGTGTTGCAGACACAAAGTAATGAATAATGGGAATGGAACAGCATGTACAGACACATATTTGACAGTTACAGCACAATTTTTTACCCGAAACAAGATTTTCCATATTCAAATAAAAACTGAAGGTTTTCTGAGAGGTCCTTCTGGAAGATATAGGCCAGATAATCCCAGCAAAGTTTGTTTGCTTTTGGAAATGTAGCATGCAATGGATACTGCAGGGGCTACTGTCATGAATATCAGTATATCAAATAACCATGATCCAGAGATGGCCAAGGATATCCAACTAAAAAGAAAACCAAGGATATCCAACTAAAAAGAAAACTTCAAATATTTAATGTTCAACACCCAAACTCAACAATTCTGTGACATTATAACAGTTCAAAGAAAATAGGTCATCTTACTCGCTAATTGCAGCACAAAAAATTACAGCTGTAACACCTTCAAATAGATGAATCCATTTCCGCCTCTCATTTCTCTGCCCACCGACATCAAAAAGTCTATACACCTCCCCACTTTTCTTGTTCTCACCAACAGGGCTGACAAAATCATAGCCAACATGAGCTGCTGAGTACCAGAACTAATAATTTTGGAGGTACTGGAAAGCATATTTTGCAATCAGGTGCAGTTGACCTTTAAGTGAAATTGATTCAAGTCAAGAAAATTGCACCTTGTAAACCCATGTCAAAACACCATAGGGCAAAACACATATTGAAAGCAATGCAAAAGCCAGGTGAATTAGTATGTTCACCTGAATTGGATCACTACAACGCCTGTTGTACGAACTCTTGCATAAAGAACATCGTCCTGAAATACAATATACACTGAGAATCTGTGGGAAAGAGCTTAAATATCATTTAAAAAGTGTTATGTGGGTGCATGCATAAAGTAAGTTAATAATCGACAGAAGCTAAAGTAATGCCAAAAATCCAAAGACTAAGCAAACAATTTTTTATGCAAAATGTCTTAGTAACATAAAAGCATCATTCCAACAAGTGCACCAGAATTTCCCCAATAAAACCATCACACTGGGACATGCAAAACTGAGCATATTAAAAATTTAAACTGGATGCATGCCATACACAGAAGTGAAGCTCACTGAAGTTCTAATATAAAAGGTTTCGAAGTAGAACAAAGAAATGCAGTGCGATGGGGTCTAATCCTAAGGAATAAATATTTTGTATATGCATTTTGTGGATGTTGAAGAATTTAAAACTTGCACTGATATCCTAATTATGCAAACAGAATGTACATAACATTCATGTAACATGGAAACAATAAGGAAACAAGATAAACTATAGATACCTTAGTTGGAATATAATTTGCATCAGACAATCTTTGCAAATTCTCCATGAAATAAGGGGTACAATCTGGAACTTGGAGCTCATTGCCACGGGCATATGTTTCCTACAGTATGCATTGAAATTAATAACTGAAATGCTTCATGCAGAAACCATGAATGAAAACCATAGTCTCAATGATATAATAGGAAAACAGACAAACTTTGTAGCAATAATACAGGTTCCAGGGAAGTTGTATATGTATCTTTGATGAACTGGCTACCTGAACTGCAGCATCTCTCCATAGAGTTTCAATCTCCTGGGCTAGTTCTTTGGTGAGACGTGGATGATCCAACCTGCCTCCAATTTCTGACAATTTCTGTCCAATATCCTGATACATGTTGAAATGAATGGATTGTAAAATCAAACCACTTTAGCAAAGAATTAAGCCAAATGTCTAGGAAAAAGAATACATCAAATTAACCTATACATGTTAGATAGTAAGTCATTGCTAGATTCCTAAAATTTGTTTTTTCAAAATGATAACCTTACTTCAAGCAAAGTAAAAGACATTGAAATGACAAATTCAAACCTTATTTTCATTGGATATAACATACTTCAAGGAATTTGTTTCATTTTGAGCCAATTCTTTTGATCCATCGTGCAATACCTGTAGAAACCCATAGATTGAACTTTCAGAATAAAATTTACCATTTATGAATCCAAAAGTTTCACCACAAAAGCCAGGCACTTCGTATTTTCTAAATTATGCAAAAAGAGAAAATAACCAACACACCCTTTCAAGTTTTGCATACTTTTATTGTCTGATAGACGTTCGCATGGATGACTGAGATATAGCTCTTGAGCTCTGCCTCGTCAAAACCACTTTGAAACAAAAGTTTTATCTGCATCCAGAACATACACAAGCAAGGATAAAAAACAGCAATGCTGGCAAACACAAGTTCATACTTGAAACAACAAAGAGTTCTGTCCTACCTGCTTGAAAATCGTTGACTTCCCAGAGTCTCCAGCACCTTGATCACAAAAGATTGATCACATCATTAAAAAAAAAAAAGAGAAAAGAGAAAATATATTGGCCACCAAAGTGGGGGGGGGGCACCGTGAATGGAAAGAAAGAGAAAAAAGAAAGAAATGTGCAACAAAATGGAAGGCAATTACATTTAGACAATAGTCATGCATTAAGCAGGTTCATAATTGCTCTTCTGCTAAAAGAGAGAAAGTGCTTCTCTAGGGAAGCCACTACTGGCACCTATGGTGTCTGTGCTATCTGGACCTCAAATACAAGTCCATAACTATGATAAACATCAATTACTAAGGAAACAGTTTTAGACGCCGAACAATTAACATAATACAAAACAATTTTGAAAGCCAAATGACCAATGCAATGAGAAATGAGGTTGAATTGCATTTACCAAGAAGCAAAAGTTTTTGAATATGCTGTTCAACTTTGGTTTCTTGTTCAATTCGCCTTTCGATTTCTGCAGCCTGGAAAAGCCAAAATTAAATTTGTAAACTTAAGATTACACAAAGAACAAGGGGCACAAAAGAGGCATAAGTATCATCATAGACAAGATTAAACCGAATCACCAGTATCATACTCGTAAAAGAATATAAATCATGCATTTTATCAACTGTAACTCACCTGTGCATTCTCTTCAGTATCTGCTTCATTGTATCGATGCCGTTTACTGCAGAGTAAGCCCATATTTTGTGTTGTGATAGACAGCATGGAACGTGTAGTGATCAGGCTTCACCAGGGGTTCAAACAGTTGGTCGATGCCCTTTTGTAAAGGTCACTCATAATGTGGTCAATTTGACCTGATCAGAGTGAAGAAACCTGCAGAGGTCATTAAAGATTAGATTCATCTTCATTGTAAAAATACTAAAGTTCAATCACCAGTCCAACTCAACTAAATCCGCACATAAATGAGTTGTACAACACAACCAGTACCCAAAATCACATGTCATTTCTCGTGACTCCAAGTTCAAAAAACAAAAAACTAGAAAACACCATCAGAGACACACGTACATTAATGACAATAACTTATCAGCCATTTATATGTACAATTAATATTCCCAGTATAAGTTTACACAGGTCTTGGCATTTACCACTTCACGGCAGTACATAGCATCAACACACCCTTCAGCCAACTTATCTCCTACCTCCCATTGCATAAAAACAATCTATGTTTTAATTATAAAATCTTTCATTATCATAAAACAACTTCCAAAATAATTATAATTAATTGCATCCAACAGGAATTATTATTATCATTTTTATGAGAACTAAAAAGGAACAAAATGAGAATTATACACACAGATAAAGATAATGAGAAACAAAAAACCCAAGAATGTTCTAAATCAAACCCAAAAATGAAAAAAACAAAGGATTTTTTTAAAAAGAAAACTATTGTTGATCCGCAACTGTCAGTGCAATAGAATAGAATACGAAGATCCCACAACGTAAATTGAACCCAAGAAAGCAAAGATCTAGAAAGACATACTTTAGCAAATGCAAAGAAGCAACAAGGTCAAAGTTGGTAGATATAGGATTGGTTGATTGGCTTGGTTCTTGCAGCCACCCTCTTTGCTTTGTCTGCTGTTCTTCTCCTCCTACACTTTCGCTTGCTCTCATTACAGTCAAAGTTGGAAATAAAATGTTCAACTAGCACTGAGATGAGCACCTTTACAGCCACGTTTATTTTTGTATTTTAATAAATAAATAAAATATTATCTCAAAATGTTATCAAGTAAAAAATATTTTATAAATATGGAGAGGATTACAGTCTGTGTAGATGTTCATCGAGGGTGTCTTTTGTCTTCGAAAGATTAAAAAAAAAGAAAAAAGGGAGTTATGTAACTATTACAAGGCAGTGAAGTGGACTGGACTGTACTATGCTCTACTGGTTCTCCCTTAGATCCTCTGGTTTCTCTGTTTCCGTGTTGTCTCTGTCACGTTGGATCCTCTGGTTTCTCTGTTTCCGTGTTGTTTCTGTCACGTTGATGGTTTGTTCTGTCACGTTGATGGTTGATTAGTACTTAAAATTGCATTTTTATCATGGTTTTATATCATCATTTTGCACTTAAAGTATCAATAACTCCTTAACTAAAATATGTTTTATAATAATGTATCTAATAATATAAGATACCTATAATTTATGGTAAATGTCTATTTTTAATGCAGATCTATCACATAAATGAAAGGATTGATTGATGACTTAAAGAACTTAAATTGCATGGATAAAGAGATGGTCAAACTTAGAGAAGAGATGTCGGTGCAATCCAAACCGGAACACTGTTCGGTAATTGGGTCATATCTGGAGCTACAGATCTCAGATTTAGGTCAAATTTATATGGATAGAAAGGTAAGACACATGCCTACAACTTTCATATGGAGCCCAAGATCTAAAAAGGCCATTATCAAGTCCAAATTGTAGCAACAACAAAGAAGCCCGAATCTGTCTTCCAGCCCGAGCACTGTTCGGTATTTTGGCCATATCTGGAGTTCTAGAAGTCCAAATGAGCTGAAGTTTTTACACAAGAAAGCTGAGACAATTGCCTACAACTTTCATGTTTACAACTGGCTCCAATTTTGACGTTATCAATGACGTTTTGGGCAGACAAGAGAAGATAAGGATTGTCACCAAGTCAAAAGTTGGTCACCCACTTATCAATTAGTCATCAAATCAATAGTTCCCATTTTTGGCCTATAAAAGGAGGCATTTGCCATGCATTTAGGCATCTTGGTTTCCAGATCAAGATCATGCTCTTCCTTTCTCTCTTTGTATTTTTTATGCTTTGTTTTCATTAATATTAAGTTTATGCCTTTCATTTCCTTTCCTTTACTTAGTTAACTTTTATGTTCTTATTTTGTTTATCTATTTTGCTTTCTTTCATTATGTCTAGCTAAGTTAATTATGTCAAGGTGAAAAGGTTACACTAATGGTGTAAGAATAAGTATAATGTAAACTTAATATGGACTTTAATGTTTGATACTAACATGTTTTATATTTGTTATCTTGTTCACTCTTTAATACTTTGCTTGTTAAATGACTAATCTTGATTTATGTTGTATAACACTTGGTACAACAAATGCTTGGCACTTTCATAGCCCATAATGTATGGTATAACCGACACCTGAGCTATGAAAGGAACTTGATTTATTGTTAACATAAGTTATAATCATGAATGCTTGACGAGATTTACAAGTATTAGCATTAATTGAATAAGATGACTAATGTAATCATGTTAACAATATATAATCTGATTGGAACCTCCTTTGTGTGTGGTTTCCAATTCAATAATAAGAGTTTATACTATACTTGTTTGATATACCATTAGTGGAACCTCTAACCTTGACATTTGTTATTATCATTGTTTAATCGTTACATTAATATTCCATCTCAAAGTTCTCATCTTCTTCTTCTTCTTCTCCTTCTTTTTCTTTATTATTATTATTATTATTATTATTATTATTATTATTATTAGTACTACTACTACTACTACTACTACTACTACTACTACTACTACTACTACTACTACTACTACTACTACTACTACTACTACTACTACTACTACTACTACTACTACTACTACTACTACTACTACTACTACTACTACTACTACTACTACTACTA